CTATGTTGTTCTTTGACCTTAGTTCCAACAAAGGAGAAAGACTTTCTCTCTCTCCATTTTTTTTTCTTTTTCCTTAATTGTTGTCAAATCGGGTTGTGTCACCTAACATTTTAATTAATAAAGGGATGGTGTATTAGCCAACCAATACTTTTATACCATATGTTTGAGACCTTTATTTTTTTTAAATTCACTATAAATTCATACATACGACATCTGAAAAATATTTCGTAATCAAATTTACTAAAATGTTAAAGCAAAAATTCTGATATTTTTGTATGTTATATGTTGAACAATAAACTCAAATTATTAATACATGTACAATTTTTTTAAAGTGTAAATAGACACTTATTTATATTGATATATACCAAATTTACTTAAATTCGCCTAGTCCTATAGGCCCCTGCCTAAGCCCTGTCTAGGCACATAGGCACTAAGCCCAGCCGGCCACCCGACTAGTGCCTAGTGTACCTTAACAAGGACCACCTGATGTTAAAGTCCTGGATCCGCCACATCTATGGGTTTTGATTGGGCAAAATTATAGTTTTTTTTTTCAACTTTTTGTCTTGGGATTCTTTTGGTGTTGCTTCTAGTGCAGTATGATGATTGATGGAACAATAAAAAGGGATTGTGTATTGTGACTTTGGTTTTGGAATATTGTTATATTATCTGAGTAATATTATCCAAGCACGCAAAGAATATTAGAACAAAAACATTATTGTTTTGAATGGTTTGATTTTTTTTTCCATAATAAATTTTAGATATGGAAATGCTTCATCTTCTTAGACCATATTTTTTAAATCAAATGATATGGTTGTTAAATTCTATTTTTAATGATTTAAGGAAAAAATCTAATTATCAACCGCCACACCGAATGTTGTCTACAAATATGATTTAAAATGATGGTCTCTCTATCATTATCCTTCAGACAATAGTGTCAATATCACTATAGAAGTGAATCTCATCTTACTAATTTAACATTTTTCATTATAATTATGATGTAATATTATCAATTCATTCACGTTATATCATATGAGTTTCATTATTATCAATATGATATATCGGTGACACCTTAACTATTATTGATTAATTTTGAAGAAAAAGATTTTGTTATTCACTTGTATTATAAGTTAGGAAGACTTTATGTAGTATCCCACATCGACGACGTGAGGGCTGTCCTTGGGCCTTATATGTATTCGCTCGCATGTACTCTTCAGAGACGCGTTTTGGAGCTGCGGCTTGCAAAAACAAATCCGTGAGTGGGGTCGGACCGGTGCGCCGGGTTCCACCACAAAGCGGACAATATCTCTGCGGAGGAAGGCGTGGTTACATTGTTTGGTATCAGAGCCAGACTCACGGCCGTTCGGTGTGCCGACGAGGACGTCGGTCTCCCTAAGGGGGGTGGATTGTAGTATCCCACATCGACGACGTGAGGGCTGTCCTTGGGCCTTATATGTATTCGCTCGCATGTACTCTTCAGAGACGCGTTTTGGAGCTGCGGCTTGCAAAAACAAATCCGTGAGTGGGGTCGGACCGGTGCGCCGGGTTCCACCACAAAGCGGACACAATATCTCTGCGGAGGAAGGCGTGGTTACACATTGTTTGGTATCAGAGCCAGACTCACGGCCGTTCGGTGTGCCGACGAGGACGTCGGTCTCCCTAAGGGGGGTGGATTGTAGTATCCCACATCGACGACGTGAGGGCTGTCCTTGGGCCTTATATGTATTCGCTCGCATGTACTCCCCAGAGACGCGTTTTGGAGCTGCGGCTTGCAAAAACAAATCCGTGAGTGGGGTCGGACCGGTGCGCCGGGTTCCACCACAAAGCGGACAATATCTCTGCGGAGGAAGGCGTGGTTACATTGTTTGGTATCAGAGCCAGACTCACGGCCGTTCGGTGTGCCGACGAGGACGTCGGTCTCCCTAAGGGGGGTGGATTGTAGTATCCCACATCGACGACGTGAGGGCTGTCCTTGGGCCTTATATGTATTCGCTCGCATGTACTCCCCAGAGACGCGTTTTGGAGCTGCGGCTTGCAAAAACAAATCCGTGAGTGGGGTCGGACCGGTGCGCCGGGTTCCACCACAAAGCGGACAATATCTCTGCGGAGGAAGGCGTGGTTACATTGTTTGGTATCAGAGCCAGACTCACGGCCGTTCGGTGTGCCGACGAGGACGTCGGTCTCCCTAAGGGGGGTGGATTGTAGTATCCCACATCGACGACGTGAGGGCTGTCCTTGGGCCTTATATGTATTCGCTCGCATGTACTCTTCAGAGACGCGTTTTGGAGCTGCGGCTTGCAAAAACAAATCCGTGAGTGGGGTCGGACCGGTGCGCCGGGTTCCACCACAAAGCGGACAATATCTCTGCGGAGGAAGGCGTGGTTACATTGTTAAACAACAATGTAACCACGCCTTCCTCCGCAGAGATATTGTCCGCTTTGTGGTGGAACCCGGCGCACCGGTCCGACCCCACTCACGGATTTGTTTTTTGCAAGCCGCAGCTCCAAAACGCGTCTCTGAAGAGTACATGCGAGCGAATACATATAAGGCCCAAGGACAGCCCTCACGTCGTCGATGTGGGATACTACAATCCACCCCCCTTAGGGAGACCGACGTCCTCGTCGGCACACCGAACGGCCGTGAGTCTGGCTCTGATACCAAACAATGTAACCACGCCTTCCTCCGCAGAGATATTGTCCGCTTTGTGGTGGAACCCGGCGCACCGGTCCGACCCCACTCACGGATTTGTTTTTGCAAGCCGCAGCTCCAAAACGCGTCTCTGGGGAGTACATGCGAGCGAATACATATAAGGCCCAAGGACAGCCCTCACGTCGTCGATGTGGGATACTACACTTTAGATGCGGTCCCTATTTATAAATATTCTTTGATTGAAATCTTGTTGGTTTTCAATTTTTTATTAAAGTCCCTGAAATTAATGTGATAATTTATTTCTATGTACGTTATTATATTTTTTAAATTAAAAATTAAAATTTTTAGTTGTTTATATAAATGAGATTTTAAATAAAAAACCATAATTTGTGGGATTAAAAATATTAAAATATAAATATACTATTGTGTGTGTGTGTATATATAAACATGGGTACATTCATCAAAATTAACCAAAAAATTATTGTATCAAAACATGGGAACATTCTTCAAAATCACAATATATATATATATATATATATATATATATTAGGCTTAATAACATTAGTAAATTTCTTCGATTAAACTTGACATGGATACATTTTAAAATCAAATAAAAAAGAATGTACCCATATATGTTTAAAAATGGATTAGAAAAAAAATTGAATAGATTTTATATAAAAAAATGGTGCATTTTACATATAACAAATTGGTATATTTAAGAATGAGTACATTTTAAGATTAAAATTTTGAAAAAATTACATGAATGGGTACATATAATTAGCATGGGTACATTTGGTAAAATAAAAAATGGGTACAAATACAAATAAAACTTTAAAAAATATGAGCACAAAAAGAAATTAATATATGGGTACAAATTAAAACTGAAAAGAAAATTGGTACAAATTAAAAAAGGATTGCAAATTAAAAATGGATACAAACTAAAACTAAAAATATATGATAAAAATTTATTCATAAATATAAATATACTAATTGTAACATTTTAAACATTAAATGAATATATTTAGAAATAAAAAATATTTTATTATTGAAATAATTAATGATGTTATTAATACCCAAGGACCTTGATCAAAAATTGAAAAGGATTAGGATTTTAATTAATGGAGTAGCAAAATGAATGATGACAACCTGATTTCTCATATAAGTTATAACACCTAAATTAATAACACTATGTAACGATGTAATTGTCGAGCTGAAAACTTCCTCACAATGATGCCCAAAGAGATAGAAAATGGGCTACAATGACATATAATTGAATGGAGTCAATTTTTTTCTTTTGAGTTGATTTATAATGGTGCTATTTTGTTGGTATAATTGAAGATATCGACGGTTCGGATCGTTGAAATACATTACAGAGCGAGCTCCACCAAAAATTGTGTAAAAAAAGTGATACCATGGAACCGCCCCCTTTAGGTATATATGAGAAGAAAAAAAGGATTAAAATGACAGAGGAAATGAAGGAGAAAAGTTAAGCTTATTTTTGGCTCAAAATACAAAAAATTGTTCTCAATTAACTCGTAGTTGTACTTTATCATTCATATACTTTCCTTCCGCATCTCTTCCACTCTCCTTTCCTCCTCCGACACCATTCATATACATTCCTTCCGCATCTCTCCCACTATCCTTTCCTCCTCCGACACTCCTTCTCCATATTTAATGGGGCTTTTTCTTTGGTGCTTTTTCTGGTAAGCTTTGGTGAAAAGATAACTAGGCAACTCAGGTGGACAACACGATTTGTATTTGGCATAGCAAACATTGACATGCTATCTACAAGCCACCTGCTCATCACCATAACCAACATGCTATCATTCATCCACAATTTTGTCTGCCCTATCTTGTGTGATTCGAGAAAAGGGAAAATCCATTTTAGTAATACTTAAGTTTGTATAACTTTCTGCTTAAACACGAGAAATTTTTTTTCACATTTTTTTTCTTCATTAGCACACTTAAGATAAATTTTAAGGGGTGGATCAGATTTGAATTTTATTGGATTTTAAAGGCATTTCCGCTAGTTCCACACTAATTTCATAGGATGTCCTGGTTTAAATATCGTTTGTATTAAAAAAATGACGACATCTACCAAATTTGAAATCGATTTCTAAAATTTGGCATTAAAATGTGTAACATACGTATGAATCTTTGGAATTGTGGAGCTACTTCGCCCAGCAAGTTGGGTTTAGAGCCCGTCAACATGTTTTCCCACGACTTGGTTTTTACAACTCAAAGCAGTAGAGAGTAAATTAATTGAAATATTAACAGTGTGGAATGTCTTCTGTTCAGCAACTTGAAAATAAATTCTCGAAAGCAATTCTGCATATATGTACATGCTTCCAAGTTGAGGAATGGGCCGGACGCCCGGCAGGAAAGGGTTTTATGAACAGAGACAGAGAGGAGGATATTTTGACAGTTAGAAATCCCAGAATTACAGATTAATAACGAACTTGAATAATTTAAAAGGGCAATAATATGCATATTCATGATATATATGCCTTCACCAGATCTGTGAAATTGCATACCAATCCTGTCCTTGGACAAGTAATCTTACCATCATTCTTCCTCGCCATTTCTTCAAGAGCCTGCCTCCAAAACATAAATCAAGAAGAATATTTCAAGACTGAATTAACAAAGATCTTGTTTTTACCACAAAAAACGCATACGAACCTTAGTGCTGTAGACATAGCCGTTGGGCAAGACTTGCGGTGGGTTCTCTGTGTCCATTAGTTCCTTAGTTATGTAGCAAACAAGCTTTGAATGACGCTGCTTAGAATAAGGTAAGGGCATGGCTAGTTTCCGGAAACCCTCCTGTGATAGCGGATCCTCCTTGGTGCAATCATCATCATAACAGTATCTGAATCAGGTCAAGGCAAAACAAAATCTCTAAATGCAATTAACAGCAGCAATGCAAGCGGTCATGTGCTCAAGGTGAATGTGAAGTGCCAAAACACCAATAAGGGAGCTAAACCACGGCCACCTAATGACTCTAGAGATTATGACATAAAACCCTTAAAAGTTAGCAAGAAATGGACAAAAATACTAAATTTCCACAACTAATGAAGTACACAGTACGCATTGTCAAAACTTCATTCCATATACAAAAATTTTGGTTCACTATTTCAATCACATAAGTATGTACATACGCTATAGCTGTTTCACCCTCCCGCTCTAGAGTTTTGTTCTGCAGGTCACATAGGCAACGATGCAGCTCAAAGCCAAAGAAGCTTTGGGAGTCAACTCCATATAAAGTGAACTCGATTGTACCAAGCCTAGAACACTCCTGATTAATAGATAAGTGGAAAACAGTAAAATACAGATCGATAAACAACTGTTAGAGGATGCGGGGTTTTAAGAGCAGACAGGCCTGCTTGCAGATAAATATTCAGCAAAGGCTCAAGCGTCATGCCATATAACTTGCAGAATTCCTGTTTGAATTGGTCAACCAGGTAATCCCATTGCTTTGGCTCAAATAAAACCTGGAAAACATAATTAACAAAAGAATTAAAAAATTACAATCAGAGATTAACCTGTACCATGCAGCTCCAAAGATAAATATAACCACCAAACCAATACATCTCCCTAAAATGTGTAGTTCAAAATGTATTATTTCCCAAGGAGATGGCACAGAAAATGAGTCTATTCATGAAAACCTAGTCCTGTATATCAAAGGATTCCATACCGGGAATATTGAAGGCTGCATGACTAACAGAGACGAAAATTAATCTGTGAGGAACTACCACCACACAGAGATGGTGCAGGCAAATATGTGCTAGTTTGTGTTCAACAAAACATCTTTCCTACATGGTAATAAGTTCAACTAAACATGGGTACCATTTAGCACATTGTCCTATTCAGCTCATTCCCACAAGATTTGGGGAAAACAGAGACCATAGTCTCAAAATCATTTTCATTAACTTTTTACTTTAGTTCCCTTAAATATCAGTATGTCTATTCCAACAAAAACTGTGGCACAGTTAATTTCAGATAGTAAAAATCTATAATGCTGCCAAAGATTCAAAGTACTCCGTAAAAGAATTTCCCAATCTAGAGAAAAATGGATCACCTTGTATGTAGCACATTCTGTAGTACTCTTATAAGCTACTGTTACAAAGACCCGCTGGAATTCTTTCATATGAGTAGTTCCCCATGGTGCTAGGTACTTTGAGCATATGTGATTGCTCGCAAGTTATTTTCAGCTCGTACCAACTCTATAAACTCTTGAAGTCTCAGCTGAAACTCGAATTTACTCTGCCATCAATAAAGAATTCAGCACTAGATAATACAAAACAAACGAACTACAATTCAAATGGTATAACTGTCAACAGAAACCTTTGTCTAGTTATCTAATTTGAGGAAGGAAACAGTTTGCAGTACCAACTCAAACAAATGAATTTCAAGAACCATTTTATCAGAAATTCACAAGCAGTTGTTAGAAATTTAGTAGAACCAACATACTTACGGAAGCACTGCAGCTACAACTACAGGGAATCTTTCACAACAATATAGCGGCCAAATGAATTAGAATCTATGAAAGAAAAATGTCATTTTCTTTTTACTTCCATCTCCTAGTATGCAGTCCAAGTATGATAGAAGCAGTAGAAAGCCAAACTCGAACAAATAAATCAAATTTCACATAAAAGAACGGCAGGACACATTGAAAGAATCACCATCCTCTAAAACTTATGTACAGAGTATTTGTTTGCTAATTTCTTTCAAGAACAAGCAACAGAACAGATAACTTTACTGACAGGAGTAGTATTAGGCTAGCAAACTCTTCCAATCCACCAAATAGCATGCTTCTCAACCCTACCCTCCCCCAAAACAAAAGGGAGCGCATACCTTGGATTTCTTTAATCGTGACTTGTTCTCGGCACACCAGGCTAGGGCAGGGCCTACCTCCATATTCTGAAGGGCTTCAATAACCTTTTTTGCTTCTTGAAATATATCAATATCAACAAAATCCTGACACATAAGAAACTAATCAAGTTGCCAACACGTACAAACAGAAATATGGAAATATTCTTCAATCTGCACCAGTAGCAATAAGAAAGAAGGGATTCTAACAAGCCAATGAACCTGCGGCAATAAAAGCTAGTATCCCCTATTTATTCTACTTACCTTCACTTCCTAACTCCTATACTAGACAATAAAAGTTCCAACCTATCAATTATGAAGCAATAAGCTGCTTTCTTTCATTATATAGACTTTGTGAGCTAAAATTTGTTCATCATTCCTTCATTAATGTCAAAAAGATAATTTCTTTCCATCGTTAGAAAATGTGAAGATGAATCCCTCTTCCAATTGCAAAGTAGAGTAAGCAATTGGATAATGAGCATGACGATAATAATAAAACCGCTTGATAGCCAGATATATAATAATATTGCCATCGTTTCCAAGTTCTTCAATCCAATTAATACATTCAAACTACAATAACTCATGATATTCAAACCTTCCATGAATTTATGAACATTGGAATGAAAAAAACTGATGACAGAGCACTCGGTATAAAGAACCACAAATATGTAATGTCAACAAATCTAGGACAGGAAACCAAAACTACCTGAATATTTCTGCTTTCCGCCAGCTTCACTGCCGTATCATAATAAGACATCCGCAACATGTAGTCCACAAGGATCCGGTTCACACGTGTGTTACTCCATTCAGACAGACTCTCCACATCTGCCGATTCTAAATGATCAAGCCGAGCCCGGCACCTCTGTGCCTGCAAGTGCTCCGTCTTACTCCCCTCTTCCAACTTAATCACGAAAAACCCCCCACATCAATCAGCATGAAAATTCCAGTCACAAATAACCAAATTCAATCACTCAAAGCACAAATATAAACAAAACAATCTATTACAATTATTAAACCACAAAAATCCAATCCGGATTAGTTAAATGTCAATTTAGATCGATGACTTTCAACAGTTTAACAGTCAATGTCAATCATATCAAAGCTACTCGAGCTAATAAATCTCGAATTAACCTCTTTTTGGTTGCCTTGAATCCATCGGATTAACCTCTGTTCTTTTCTATTTCCTCTCACTCCTCCGTCATCCAAACAGGATAAAATAAGTTGTGTGCTATCCACACATCCATTTTTACTTTTCTCACGCCCCTTGTTAATTTTTGTTCTTTGATCTTCTTCAATTCATCCGATCCATCGGCCGAAAATTCAAAAATTAAAAGGGTGTGAGAGAAGTAAAAAATGGTGCGTGGACACATCCTAAAACAATCCAAGCTAGGGCTTACAAATGCAGTACCTTTCGTTTAATCCCCTGCAGCCTGGAAACGAGGGAGCTGAGATGATTCACGGCGTCGTCGGACGACAAGCTGTCGTTGGCGACGCGGCGGTGCCTTTGGGGAGAGAATCAATTTCCATTGAGATAGGAGAAAGAGATGGACAGAGAGAATGATTAGGGACTGGGGAGATTCGAGTTGGGGAGAGAATCAATTCCCTATTTAAAATTATATGAACCCTCCTCAAGCTAGGTCTGGTAGTGGAAAAGGGAAAGGAATTCCACGGTCACTTCGTGCATTTGCTCGTGTTCTATGTTGCACCTCTCCTCAAGGTGTGTTTCTCTTCAAGTTACCTTACTCGCATGCATTGCTTGATATGCTTCCGACCTCATTTTACCTTTATGAGCCATCTGCAAATAGTTTCTTGATTGTTTCTTAATATTCAGACTTGTTGACCTGGCCAAGGAAGCTGCAGAACATGATGGTCGATTGGCTCGACGTCCTTTAACAAACAGCAGCAGAGAGATTAAAGCACATCTGATGTTGTTACCAAAATTAACCCAATTAGCTGAGGCTATTGATGCATCTATCAAGGTAAAGATGCTAACTTTTTATCCCTTTCGTTTACTGAAGTTGCCTAGGCTAATTAAAACAAGAGTTCATTATCTTCTATGGTAATGCATTAATTCACGAGAGCGAACACCAATTACAGTTCTTGTGAATTAAGGAATTCTTAAGCATTCACATATTGAATCAGTTGACGTGTTGTAACTTACTCATTTTGGTTGAGATATTAATGAAATAGAGGAGTTTTATAACTTGGGAAGCAGTAGTAAACATATGAAGGGAGTGAACTTTTAATATACTCATTCTATAGTTTACATAATGTTGCATCTGACTAGTACAAATGTAGTAACTCCTTTTTATGCTTCTTGAGTGTATGCATAGTCTTTGGGACCCGTAAGTTCTTCGGTTACATGCAAAACACTTTATATTCGGAGGCAAATGGCTCGGGATCTGCTCAATGGTGAATTTTGTATCCTCAAATCTACTTCTGCGTGGCTAAAAAACTACTGCCACACTTTGATTACAACAGACTGCCAAAGATGACGATATTGGTTTTTGCAAAACCACCAAAAACTCGAGAGAGGTAATATCATTGGAGTCTATTAACGCCACCAGACACAGGTACAAGTTATTTTCTTTGGTATCTCTTTTCAGACAAATGAAACTATGTATATGAATAAGCTTTTTTTTAGTCATAATTAGTATGAACCAATATGAATAAGCTATTTTTTAAAAGTAATTAAAAACAGTTCCTTTCTCACTCCCTTGATTTAGGAGCTCCTAGACAACTCCAATGCGATTAAGCTATTTTTTTTTATGAAATGCTTCCGGAATTCCGTGGCTACACTCTTCATGTCGCTGGCCGTCAGAACAAGGACTTCAACAACATCCGTAATTACGAAAGGAGACCCAGCTGCTCTAGGTACTGTGTCAGGGAAAGAGGTCGAGAATGGCCAAAACAGAAGTTCTTCTCCATAGATTTCTCCTGCGTCTTTTACCCAAGCTTCATGGCCTATTCTTCCTTCCACAATCAACAACATTTGAAATTGGGTCACCCTTTTCAATAATGTTGTCAGTACGATTATACTTCATGGGCCGAAGATGGCAACTAATTTCTTTCAGCATTGATTTGTCCATGTATTGAAATGCTGAAATCTACGTTTCATAACATTTAAATAAATTAATTGACAAATTAAAAAAAATCTAATACATAAGTTAAGTATATAATTATAACTAACTCATGAATTTTAAAACGTTTCCATCCATCATTAATCTCCAAAGTTTTTATTAAAATCTAAATAAAATCGGCAGCCTTCAGACTGTTTTTGTGTTTGCTCACTGCAAGAAAAGGAAGCCATGTAAATGTGATTGTTGCTCAGTTGCAATGATGCACGGTGGCTTTAGAGCTATTTAAAATTTAAAATTATATTTTGTAGATCACATAATACGGCGGATGATGAATGTTTTTTTTTTAATGGTCTCCTTAGTATTTTTTTTATAAATGAATTGTGACAATAAAAAACGTAACTAAGGCCATAATCGTGACTTTTTCTTTTTTCTTTTTCGTCTGTGACATTATTGCAACCCCATAAGTATCACACTTTTCCTGTCTCTATTGCTCACTTTTTTATAGCATATTTTTACATTTTTTTTGGTTCATTTTTTACTTCTCACACACCCTTTTAATTTTCGGTCGTCGGATCGGATGAATTGAAGAAGATCAAATGACACAAATTAACAAGGAGTGTGTGAGAAGTAAAAAATGGTGTGTGTAACTACAAACGTTGATATGCTTCAAGTTATATAAAAAAGTATCAAAGTGGATGGTGGTGTGAAAGGTTATGGGTTAGAGTTCGTTAATGTCTAGGCTCCTCTTTAATCTTTCTTCTGTGTCTAGGCTCCTCTTTTTCTTTAATGTCTGATTTCATGCATATGTATTAATACACAACAACAAAAAGATTGTTAGAGTTCGTTACTTATAGTAAAAGAATATGTAGCCAAATTACAATCAAACTGAGGTTGCCAAAGTTTGTTATAGGCTTATTGAAATTGTCATTCTATATGAATCTCATATCAGGGAAATAAAATTTTGCCTAATAATTTAAATAATTTTGGACCCTCCCCCTCCTATTCCCAATGGTTTTAATAAGATGGATGCTCAATTTTAATATGGTATTAAATGAGACTATCTATGTGCTATGCATCACTCAAGTTTTGACCAAACACCCCATTTCATTCAACTCCATTACAATTCCAAACACACATAGGGAACTTAGGCATGGTTTGGTACTGAGGTAATTATGAAAAAAGCTGGTATAAAAAAAAGCTGTGAGCTTTTTTGTGTTTGGTAAACATTTAGCTTTAGCTTTTTTCACAGTTTTTGGTGAAAAAAAAAAGCCAAAAACAAGAAGCTGCAAAACCCAGCTTTGAAAAACCAGCTTCTTTTCACATCTATTTTACATAAACGTTTACCAAATACTATAATACTATTTTTTTTTTCAAAAGCATTTTTACAAAAAAGTTTACCAAACACATTACAGCTTTATTTCACAGCCGCTTATTCTCACAGTACAGCAGAAGCATCTTTTTTCAAAGCACAACAATACCAAACCAGGCTTTAGTCCCTAACCACTTTACATTGCGACGTTACAAGAACACTAACAAGTGTTTAACATTGAAAACAAAATTAAACCACCTAATTAATACATAATTAACCACTAAACCCAATCCATCAACCATTTCTTGATTGCAATCCATCAACCATTTCTTGATTGCAAGACATGAAGAACCCGAACAAACCCTAGCCACCAAACCCATAGAGGGTCCTGCCCCGCCTCTAGAGCGCATAGACCACATTCATGGCGGTCAGTCTTGCGGCAAGTGTGCTCAGTGTAAGTCACGACGTCTCTGATCACGTTCTCCAAGAAGATCTTAAGCACGCCACGTATCTCCTCGTAATCAAGCCGCGTAGTGGACTAACTGATATTAATACCATAAAATTAACTGATGAAAAAAAGAACATATGATAAAAAGAGATGATGAAAAATAAGTTAGGGTTCTTCTAGGCTTTTAAACATTTTAAGAAGTTTGGGCTTATAAAGGCTTATGTTTAACATTGGTGTTTTTTTTCTTGAGTGGACTAACTGAAATTTGTACCATAAAGAGATTAAGGACGTATCAAAGGTGACATCCATGGGAAATCTCAACGGAAAGTAAGAAAATTGCAGAGATATGGAGTTAATGGTGATTTTTTATTTATTTATGAAGAAGATTACAATATTTCAGTTATTGATAAAAGGGTATTACAAATACATATATGAAGAACTTGGTCCCAAAATGGTCCTTGCAAACTAGATCTAAAAATTTTACAATAAAACATTATTAATCACAAAGCAATGAGTAGACATCAAGCACTCGTATGAGCTCATCGAGAACTTGACTTTTGAGTAAGAAGCACGAACGCTAGATTGCATAGTGTAAATGGTTATTTTCTAACGGGAGTATTTTTACTCACCACCATAAACTATGGTGTATACTCACCACATATCTAATCATCTGCCACATTTCACTTAACCTTAGTTTTTTTTTTTCTTTCAAAACATTTAATGTGAAAATTAACTAGAGTTAGGTGAAATGACACTTGACACAGATGATTAGGTGTATGGTGAGCATACACCATAATTATGGTGGTGAGCAAAAATGCTCATTTTCTAATGAATATGATAAAAGGATGAGGAGAAGAGAAAACTCATTTATTAATTTAAGCATAAATAATAGGGATAATGATAGGGAGATCCAATTTTTAAACCAAATGATGTGTCATCAATATGAAATAAGCATGTTAATCAACACTAAAGTAATAATCCAATCATCAACATCCACATTAATTGGTTTACAAATTTGGTCTCTCTAACATTACCCAAAAAATATTATTTATTACTTGTGCACTAAAAACTTGATTGAAATTGAGTAACTATATAGGATACACCATTAACATGAACAATTAAAACATGAGTTTACAAAATACCTTCTTGGGCTGTAGTCCACCTTAACCTTGTAGGTAGCTCCGCCACTGTATAAGCTACATGCATTAACATAAGGGAGCTTTAATGAAAAGGGTTTGGACTAACAAATATTTAACCAAAAACCATCATAAAATGTTATTTAACCAAAAGGGCTCAAAGTTTAATAAAAAAACCATCTAAAACTATTATCCATGGGTCAAACTTACAAGCCCAACCCGCTATAAATCTACACTTCCGTAAATACCCCTAAATGATTTGTTATTGTCATGACTCTTCACCAACCTCAACCCAACACGAAACCGCCATAATAACTCATTGTCTTCCTATCAAATCGAATTCCCCCATTTCAAAAACAACCAAATCAAAGTTCAAATCAAAGTTGAAAAAGGAAGCATTCATCTAAACAAAGCCGCTGAAACAAGTTCGAAGAAGTTTAATGGCAAAAACCAGCGAAAAAGTGTTTGGAAAAAAAAAAGAATCAAAACATAAAACTGTTTGTGGAGAACCTAAAACATAACACTGTTTCTGGAAAAAAAATCAAATACAGTGTTTGTTTTGTCTGTATCTGGAAAGAAAAGAACCAAAATCCAGAAACAGCAACTTAAATTCCAGAAACAATCTATGTTTTAACCTTTGACTATTTCTTTTTTTTCATGCATCGGTTGATTATATTTAAGAAATAGAGTGCTTTTTTTTTTTTGAATCCAAATACAGTTAATTTCACTATTTCTTTTCTAGCTTACATTTAAGAAACAGTGTGTCTATTTCATCTGGATCCATAAACAGTGACTTAGATTCCAGAAACAGTGTTACCAAAAATCCAAAAACAGTTTATTTCTACAATCCAGAAACATTGACCCGTCGTTATTATTGAATAGCATGTATATCTCAAATTTATTTTCTGAAGAAACAAACAATGAACTCCACTGAGAAGAAAAATTGAAAAACAATACCTCGAATACACTATGAATAATAACGACGATCACATTTCAACGAAATAATACAAAATATAAATTAAATAGCATGAGGATCTATATTTTTGCTTCAAAGAAAAAGAAGAATGTTTGCAAAACAATGATAAACTCCATTACGACAAAAATATGGAACTCAACCTAAAAAAGTTAGGGGTAAAATCGACAAATCATAATTTATTATAGTTGAATCATTTTTAGTTGGACTACTTTAATATGAGCTTTGTATTAACCATTAAACAAAACTTATAACATGATTTTTGATTAAAACTAAAACTTTTCAAACCATTTTCATTAGTTTTCTTTTAATATAAACCGTTAAACATGAGAGTGCAAAATACCTTCCTGGGCTACTGCTCGCATTAAAACATGAGTTTGTAAATAATAAAAAAACAATTTATATTTCACTCGGTTTGGTTCTCCAACCTTCGCTTTCGGTTCCTTTTTTCAATCTCAGTTCGGTTTTTACTTTTTCGGTCTCATATCGGTGAACCGTTCGATTTTTTTCGGTTTTTGGGTTTCCGGCCCACCCGTACCCGCGTGGACAGGCCAGTCGAGCGCCAAGCCAACACTCTCTGCCGTCAACAGTTCAGCCTCTCCTCCACTCCAAGTTTCAAGCTCAACTTCCACGCCTTGTACCAAAAGCCAAACCGAGAATTTCACAATCCGGAAAAAACCGAAACATTTCAAATTCTTGCTAACAATTCATCATTCTCTACCAGGTCGACGAATCAGACGACTTCTTGCCGTGGCTGGAGCGGAAAGCCGGCGCCGAGATTTCGTCGGCGCTTTCAATTGGGAAATCTGCGAACGGAGCGTCTCTGTTTGCTTCAAAGAGCATAACAGCTGGAGACTGCGTTTTGAAGGTTCCGTACAGCGTGGTAAGTTTTAATCCCAAATTATTTAAGATTTTAATCACAGTTTAAATTGTTAATTTATGATTTATGAGGGTTTCTTTTGGTTGATAATTGCAGCAACTAGCTCCGGATAATCTTGTTACAGAACTGAAAGATTTGTTGAGTGATGGAGTTAGCGATGCTGCAAAGCTTGCCACTGTCGTTTTGTTTGAGCAGAGAATGGGCAAGGTAGTTTCTGTTCTAGTTTAATTTACCATGCTGTGGAAAGCTGTGGAAAGATTTTTTCTGTGGAGTTTGAGGTTTTTGTTTATGCAGGATTCCGGGTGGGCCCCTTACATTCGCCGGCTTCCTCGCCCGGAGGATATCCATTTCACGGTGAGTGTTGTGATATTACTAGAGATAATGAGGTAGGTTATGTTGTTAGACGGTCAATTCGGACAGCATGTAGTTGATTTTTTTGTTTGTACACATTTCTTGAATGGCGGAATTCATTGTTTTTTACTTGGATGTTGTTTGTATGTTCTTTAGATATTTTGGAGTGACGATGAGTTGGAGCTGATTCGCCAAAGCTCTGTATATCAGGAAACAATTAATCAAAGATCTCAAATCGAAAAGGAATTTTTGGCAATTAGGACGATAAGTACTTGATTGTTTTATTCTCTGGTTAATGGTTTTGGGACGTTCATGCGTGAACCTCTACTGTGTATTTGGGGTTTAAACTGTTGGTGGCATGTAATTGAGTGTCCCATTATCTTGAATGTTCTGGCAAAATTAACCAACCAGAGTAACCAGTCAAATACGACTAGAATAATGTGGCACAAATTCTTCAGAATTTGGAATAGTGGGGCATCTCGACAGCTTAATAACTTTTGAAACTTAATCAAGTCAATACTTACTTGAGATATGTGATTGTTGATCACTTCTTTGTTATTAACTTCTAGATTCTGATTGTTGTTATGATGTATTTTCAGGCTCTCAAGAACTACCCTGAAATGTCCAAAAGTATCACCTTTAAGGATTTCATGCACGCATATGCTTTAGGTAAGCTTCTACATTTTAAAGCATTTTCATGTCCAAATCTGTCTGAATTATTTCTTCAATTGTACTTGGCATCCAATTTCATATTTTTTAATTAGTTATATCTCCATATACCTATATAGGTTAGTTGCAGCAGTTGCATATCTTAAAGATCTATAAACTTATTCTCACTTGTTCAAGGTGGATTTTGCTGTTACTTCTCGAGCATGGGGAAGCATTAAGGGTTATTTCCTGGTAACACATTTATAAAGATTCCGTTGTAAATAGTGTTATGAACTTTATGATGCATGTTCAATGTTTTCCTCTTTAATTATGCATGTTTGGATTATTAAATTATTTTATAGATCCTATTTGCTGATTTTCTGAATCATGACGGGATTTCAGAATCAGTTGTGTTGAGTGATGACGACAAACATTTCTCAGAAGTACTCTCTCTCTCTCTCTCTCTCTCTCTCTCTCTCTCTCTCTCTCTCTCTCTCTCTCTCTCTCTCTGCATTTTGATTCTCTATCTCACATCTTGATTTGGTTATAGGAGTACAAGAATTTTTTGTTCTCCTTATTCAGTGTGCACTCTTATGGAAATTGATATGTTTTTATTGCTTTACATTCGTTCAGTTATTGGGGTGCACAACAAATTCATTTCTCTTATGCTACTTATTTCTGCAGTTATGAGCTCCCTTTAAAATTTGTACATATTATCAGGTATACACATGGACAGTGTTCTTGATTTTTCATGCCTGTCATTTATCTGGGCAGGTCATTGCTGACCGCAATTATGCTCCTGGTCAACAGGTTAGATGCTACTTAATTCAGATGGCTTGTCTCCCCTATTTAAAATTACACGTACCGTTTGGAATTTCTTTTTTTGTTTTAAAACAACTGATCAAATTTTGTTTTTGTAGACGGTTCATTAACATTTTCACTCATACTATTGTTGGATTCTTGTTTCGGTTTGAAATTTTCATGACCTCCTAATTTTTTATGTATTTTTTTTTTTTTTTTTTAAGAATTAGGAAAACTTTTTATTCCTCAGTGGCCATTGTGTGTTAACAGAGAAGGGATAACAGCACATACACACAGGGTCTATGTTAGAGTAAAAAGCACAATATTGTTTGAGATATGGTGTGGAATTAATGTTAAGAAATTACTGGAAGTTTGGGGTTTCCTATTATTAGTATGAAGGGATGGTACATGGAAACATCCTCTGGAGCATGGTTATGTTTCAGAAGTGGTTGTTTAAAGTTGTAATTCTGGACTTCAATTTGTATATTTGTATGGTACTGATAAAATGCGGAAAATTTTCAAATGCTACCCTGCTGCTGGACTTTGGGTTTGCACTTTCATACAACATCCACGACCAGGTCAGTCTTGGATTTCAGTTCACTATAGTCACAATGATTGCTTTGTTATGTTGGGAAAATGTTTCTGTTGCTTATTTCTCTATCTCACATCTTGATTTGGTTATAGGAATACAAGAATTTTATGTTCTCCTTATTCAATCTGCACTCTTATGGAAATTGAGTCTTTTTTATGTTTTTATTGCTTTATATTCATTCAGTTATTGGGGTGCACAACAAATTCATTTCTCATATGCTACTTATTTCTGCAGTTACGAGCTCCCTTTAAATTTTTTACATATTATCAGGTATATGCGTGAACAATGTCCTAGATTTTTCATGCCTGTCATTTATCTGGGCCGGTCATTGCTGACCGCAATTATGTGAGAGGTCTTAGGTTCGATTTTCGCCAAATGCGAATTTGAACCACATTATTGCTAGCCCATTATGAGGTTAAGCCCACCACCTCTCCCTTAGTGAAGATAATATCGTTTGTTCAAAATAAGAGAATTTATCCATCAACCACTACTTTATTATGTCATCTTCAAATATGATTTACAAAGATGGTCTCTCGAGCATCATCTTTCAGATAGTAGTGTCAATGTCACTATAGAAGTGAATCTTATCTTACTAATTTAATGTTTTTCATTGTGACTGTGAAGTAAAATTATCAATTATTCTCGTTATATTATATGAGTTTCATTATTATCAATATGATATATCGGTGACACCTTAACTATTGTTGATTGATTTTGAAGAAAAAAATTGTGTTATTCATTGGTATTATAAGTTGTAGCATTTAAATTAATAACATTATGTAACGGTGTGATTGTCGAGCTGAAAACTTCATGACAATGATGCCCAAAGAGATAGAAAATGGGCTACAATGACATATAATTGAATGGAGTCAATTTTTTTCTTTTGAGTTGATTTGTAATGGTGCTATTTTGTTGGTATAATTCGAAGAGATCGACGGTTCAAAACGTTGAAATACATGCAAAGTGAGCCCTATAAAAAGTTGTGTAAAAAATTATGTAAAAAAAGTAGTACCACAGATCCGCCCATTTAGGTATATATGAGAAGAAAAAGTGATTAAAATGATAGAGGAAATGAAGGAGAAAAGTAATGCTTATTTTTGGCTCAAAATACAAAAAATGTAGTTGTACTTTATCATTCATATAAATTCCTTCGGCATGTCTCCCACTATCCTTTCCTCCTCCGACGCTCCATATTTAATGGGGCTTTTTCTTTTGTGCTTTTTTCTTGTAAGCTTTGGCGAAAAGATAACTACGTTACTCAGTGAACAACACGATTTGTACTTGGCATAGCACCATTGACATGCTATCTACAAGCTACCTGCTCATCATCGTAACCAACATGCTATCATTCATCCACGATTTTGTCTGCCCTACCTTGTGTGATTCGAGAAAAGAGAAAATCCATTTTAATAATACTTTAAGTTTATAAAACTTTCTGTGTAAGCACGAGAAATTATTTTCACACTAATTTTCTTCTTCAGCATGCTTGAGACAAATTTTAAGGGGTGGATCAGATTTGAATTTTATTGGATTTTAAAGGCATTTTCGCTAGTTCCACACTAATTTCATAGGATGTCCTAGTTTAAATATCGCTTGTATTTAAAAAAAAAATGACGACATGTACGAAATTTGTAATCAATTTCTAAAATTTGACGTTAAAATGTGCAACAGACGTATGAATCTTCGGAATTGTGGAGCTACTTGCCCAGCAAGTTGGGTTTAGATGCCGTCAACATGGATTCCCATGACTTAGTTTTTACAGCTCAAAGCAGTAGAGTAAATTAATTGAAATATTAACGTGTGGAATGTCTTCTGTTCAGCAACTTGAAAATAAATTCTGGAAAGTAATTCTGCATATATGTACATGCTTCAATCCCCCAACAGTAATACCAACTTCCAAGTTGACGATGAGCCGGACGTCCGGCAGGAAAGGATTTTATGTACAGAGACAGAGAGGAGGATATTTTGACAGTTAGACTTGAATAATTTAAAAGGGCAATAATATGTATATTCATGATATATATGCCTTCACCAGATCTGTGAAATTGCATACCAATCCTGTCCTTGGACAAGTAATCTTACCATCATTCTTCCTCGCCATTTCTTCAAGAGCCTGCCTCCAAAACATAAATCAAGAAGAATATTTCAAGACTGAATTAACAAAGATCTTGTTTTTACCACAAAAAACGCATACGAACCTTAGTGCTGTAGACATAGCCGTTGGGCAAGACTTGCGGTGGGTTCTCCGTGTCCATTAGTTCCTTAGTTATGTAGCAAACAAGCTTTGAATGATGCTGCTTAGAATAAGGTAAGGGCAGGGCTAGTTTCCGGAAACCCTCCTGTGATAGCGGATCCTCCTTGGTGCAATCATCATCATAACAGTATCTGAATCAGGTCAAGGCAAAACGAAATCTCTAAATGCAATTAACAACTGCAATGCAAGCGGCCATGTGCTCAAGGTGAATGTGAAGTGCCAAAACACCAATAAGGGAGCTAAACCAGGACCACCTAATGACTCTGGATATTATGACATAAAACTCTTACAAGTTAGCAAGAAATGGATGAAAATAAATTTCCACAACTAACAAAATACACAGTGCGCATTGTCAAAACTTCATTCCATATACAAAAATTTTGGTTCACTATTTCAATCACAAAAGTATGTACATATGCTATAGCTGTTTCACCCTCTCACTCTAGAGTTTTGTTCTGCAGGTCACATAGGCAACGATGCAGCTCAAAGCCAAAGAAGCTTTGGGAGTCAACTCCATATAAAGTGAACTCGATTGTACCAAGCCTAGAACACTCCTGATTAATAGATAAGTGGAAAACAGTAAAGTACAGATCGATAAACAACTGTTAGAGGATACGGGGTTTTAAGAGCAGACAGGCCTGCTTGCAGATAAATATTCAGCAAAGGCTCAAGCGTCATGCCATATAACTTGCAGAATTCCTGTTTGAATTGGTCAACCAGGTAATCCCATTGCTTTGGCTCAAATAAAACCTGGAAAACATAATTAACAAAAGAATTAAAAAATTACAATCAGAGATTAACCTGTACCATGCAGCTCCAAAGATAATATAACCACCAAACCAATACATCTCCCTAAAATGTGTAGTTCAAAATGTATTATTTCCCAAGGAGATGGCACAGAAAATGAGTCTATTCATGAAAACCTAGTCCTGTATATCAAAGGATTCCATACCGGGAATATTGAAGGCTGCATGACTAACAGAGACGAAAATTAATCTGTGAGGAACCACCACCACAAAGAGTTGGTGCAAGCAAATATGTGCTAGTTTGTGTTCAACAAAACATCTTTCCTACATGGTAATAAGTTCAACTAAACATGGGTACCATTTAGCACATTGTCCTATTCAGCTCATTCCCACAAGATTTGGGGAAAACAGAGAACATAGTCTCAAAATCATTTTCATTAACTTTTTACTTTAGTTCCCTTAAATATCAGTATGTCTATTCCAACAAAAACTGTGGCACAGTTAATTTCAGATAAGTAAAAACCTATAATGCTGCCAAAGATTCAAAGTACTCCGTAAAAGAATTTCCCAATCTAGAGAAAAATGGATCACCTTGTATGTAGCACATTCTGTAGTACTCTTATAAGCTACTGTTACAAAGACCCGCTGGAATTCTTTCATATGAGTAGTTCCCCATGGTGCTAGGTACTTTTGAGCATATGTGATCGCTCGCAAGTTATTTTCAGCTCGTACCAACTCTATAAACTCTTGAAGTCTCAGCTGAAACTCGAATTTACTCTGCCATCAATAAAGAATTCAGCATTAGATAATACAAAACAATCGAACTACAATTCAAATGGTATAACTGTCAACCGAAACCTTTGTCTAGTTATCTAATTTGAGGAAGGAAACAGTTTGCAGTACCAACTCAAACAAATGAATTTCAAGAACCATTTTATCAGAAATTCACAAGCAGTTGTTAGAAATTTAGTAGAACCAACATACTTACGGAAGCACTGCAGCTACAACTACAGGGAATATTTCACAACAATATAGCGGCCAAATGAATTAGAATCTATGAAAGAAAAAATGTCATTTTTCTTTTTACTTCCATCTCCTAGTATGCAGTCCAAGTATGATAGAAGCAGTAGAAAGCCAAACTCGAACAAATAAATCAAATTTCACATAAAAGAACGGCAGGACACATTGAAAGAATCACCATCCTCTAAAACTTATGTACAGAGTACTTGTTTGCTAATTTCTTTCAAGAACAAGCAACAGAACAGATAACTTTACTGACAGGAGTAGTATTAGGCTAGCAAACTCTTCCAATCCACCAAATAGCATGCTTCTCAACCCTACCCTCCCCCAAAACAAAAAGGAGCGCATACCTTGGATTTCTTTAATCGTGACTTGTTCTCGGCACACCAGGCTAGGGCAGGGCCTACCTCCTTATTCTGAAGGGCTTCAATAACCTTTTTTGCTTCTTGAAATATATCAATATCAACAAAATCCTGACACATAAGAAACTAATCAAGTTGCCAACACGTACAAACAGAAATATGGAAATATTCTTCAATCTGCACCAGTAGCAATAAGAAAGAAGGGATTCTAACAAGCCAATGAACCTGCGGCAATAAAAGCTAGTATCCCCTATTTATTCTACTTACCTTCACTTCCTAACTCCTATACTAGACAATAAAAGTTCCAACCTATCAATTATGAAAGCAATAAGCTGCTTTCTTTCATTATATAGACTTTGTGAGCTAAAATTTGTTCATCATTCCTTCATTAATGTCAAAAAGATAATTTCTTTCCATCGTTAGAAAATGTGAAGATGAATCCCTCTTCCAATTCTAAAGTAGAATAAGCAATTGGATAATGAGCATGACGATAATAATAACCGTTTGATAGCCAGATATATAATAATATTGCCATCGTTCCAAGTTCTTCAATCCAATTAATACATTCAAATTACAATAACTCATGATATTCAAACCTTCCATGAATTTATGAACATTGGAAAGAAAAAAACTGATGACAGAGCACTCGGTATAAAGAACCACAAATATGTAATGTCAACAAATCTAGGACAGGAAACCAAAACTACCTGAATATTTCTGCTTTCCGCCAGCTTCACTGCCGTATCATAATAAGACATCCGCAACATGTAGTCCACAAGGATCCGGTTCACACGTGTGTTACTCCATTCAGACAGACTCTCCACATCTGCCGATTCTAAATGATCAAGCCGAGCCCGGCACCTCTGCGCCTGCAAGTGCTCCGTCTTACTCCCCTCTTCCAACTTAATCACGAAAACCCCCACATCAATCAGCATGAAAATTCCAATCACAAATAGCCAAATTCAATCACTCAAAGCACAAATGTAAACAAAAATAATCTACTACAATTATTAAACCACAAAAATCCAATCCGGATTAGTTCAATGTCAATTTAGATCGATGACTTTCAACAGTTTAACAGTAATGTAAATCATATCAAAGCTACCCGAGCTAATAAATCTCGAATTAACCTCTGGTTGCCTCGAATCCATCGGATTAACCTCTGTTCTTTTCTATTTCCTCTCACTCCTCCGTCATCCAAACAGGATAAAACAATCCAAGCTAAGGTTTACAAATGCAGTACCTTTCGTTTAAGCCCCTGCAGCCTGGAAACGAGGGAGCTGAGATGATTCACGGCGTCGTCCGACGACATGTTGTCCCGGTCAGCTGCTTCGGAGACGCCGTTAATAACGGAGGAAATCTCCTTCTCCACGACGCGGTGGTTGGCGCGGATCGTCTTCTTGTAGTGCTCGAAGGGGACTCTGAGGAACTGGTGCTCCAGCTTCAGGGAGTCGGCGAGGTGGCTCAGTTTCGAGGACGGAGGAGGGGTTGCGGCGGTGGGGCCGGGTCCTAGGGTCGGTCCCGGCGACGCGGCGGTACCGTTGGGGAGGGAATCGATTTCCATTGAAGAAGGAGAAAGAGATGGATAGAGAGAATGATTGGGGAGATTCGAGCGTGGAATGACAGATAGTAGGGACAAAAGCAGATGGAGGAGGAGAAGACTTTAAACGACGGCGTATTGTTTTCGTGGTTTTTCTACAACGGTCCTAACTGCTTCTTCTTTTTTATTTTGTTGGGTCATAAAAATGCTTAATTAGGGTAAGGCCCAATTAAAGGCAAAGATGTAGTGAGGTCTGGCCCACCAGTCCAAACAAAAATCCCAAATCTAGAGTCCAGGAAAAAGAAAAGGTTCAATTATTTTGGGTCAGTCCCGGCAATGAGAAATAAAATGTGATAATATTACGTTGTCAGACGGTTTGATTCATTCTGGCATTTGATTTACGTGAAATTCAGCTAAAACTCCAACAAGTATTGGGTTGTCATAGTGGATAAAACCTTCTTTATTAACCCGCTGTGCATCTGATTCAAACTCTTTTTCTCGTTATAGTCTAGCTTACGATAGTAATATCTCTCGTTATCATTACTAATTTTAATTTAGAAGAAAAAGAAAATTTAGCTAAGCAAACCTCTTGACCACGTGTATTCAAGCAAACTTGTACCTGCTCACACCCGATTCCCGCTCTATCAGACACTCGCTCCTCCCCCTATTTCAGCAGGCGACAAAACTTTCAAAATTTTCACTTTAGGACTAATTTACCCTCACTGCCCAAAAGAACACCAAAAATAATTAATTAATTAAAAATAAAAAACCCAAGAAGCCTTCTAATTGGGTCGGGCCATATAACAATTAATCCATTGACTCACTCTCACTCCCGCTCTCATGAGAAATCTTTCATTGTGACGGAAATATGAGTGATACATCACGTGTTATTATATAAATGATGAAAAGTTTAATTTTTTAGCACACATATCCTACTATTTATATAGTAACATATGATATACCACTCCGTATTCTGATCACATTGAAAAATTTATCTGCCCTCACCCTCTCTTGTTATTATATAAATGACGAAAGAATTAACAGTTACTCGGGGGATACTGCCTAAAACTTCAGAGGAGAGAGATATGATCTGGGAGGAGGTGAAGAAATACAACGAGAAGAACATGTTGTTGAACTCGGAGGTTAACATGTTGAAGAAGAAGATCGAAACCCTTGACGAGGACATACTTCTAAAGGAAGGTCAGATCACAATTCTGAAAGATACCATAGGAAGGAACAAGTCTTTCGACCCTCCAGAGGTTCTGCTACTTTCAGACTGTCACCATCTTTGGCAGTGGGCACCAATAAACGAAAAGCTTTCTGGAAAGCAAATCAATTTTGCTCCGCCGGCAGCTGCTTCCTTCACATAATTATTTAATTTCTTAAACAGAATTTATTATCATATTTACATTGAAAAGGGGAAAAAGAGAAGAAAAAGAGGTGAAAAAGATGGATACTTTGACGAGGCGGGAGCAGGTGGCGAAATTGGCGGCAAGCTCGTTGATGGAGGTCATTTGGGCGGCGGCCACTCGGATTGAGCTGGTGGCCATGTTTGCGTCTCCGGCGATGGTGACGCGTGCGGCTGGGAACGAATCGTTGCGCCGTCTCGGAGGAGTGGACTGATGCGATAATTCGGTAGGGAGAGACAAAACTACATGGTTGGCCTGCCATCGAACGGCCCGCGGGAAATGTTTAGGCAATGCCATGTCGGACAGTGATTGTTTTATTTGTTTGGCATGGAGCCCTTGGACTTTGCTGTATTTTCCTCTTATGCACCTTTTTTTGTTTCTTTCTCGTATTGACACTTTAAAAATGTCGTCGTCTACTTTTGTTTATACAAATTTGTCTTCTGCTTTTGTAAATTTTGGAATGCAAACAATATTTTTAAGGGAACTTTAATGAAAAACTCCCGATATTGTTCATTTTAACGAAAAATCACATTTTTACACTAAAAAATCAATCATGTTACTATTCATTTTACCCTTTATTTTGTCCTTATCGTTAAAACTCAAAGTTTTCAAACCATTTTTATTAGTTTTCCTTACTTTTAAAGCATCAACAATTTTTTAAAAACTATGAACATGGTTTCACTTTACTATCCGTACTTTCAGTTGGGTTGGAAAAAGGCATTTTAGCCAAAGTTGTTATTGAAATTGTCATAACATTTTATTTTATTTTTGAAATTTAAAATCTGTAAAAGTGGTTATTGACATTATCCACCGCCAATCATTTTTGTTCTTTTGTGAAAAGTCTATGTTGGATTAAAGAAACCACCAGTTTAAGATGGGGGGTTGATTTGACAAAAATAACCTCAATTTAACAGAGTTTATTTACGAAATGACCAAAATGATTAACGGTGGACAATTTGAGGAACCATTTCTATCGATTTTAAATCTTAGTGACCAAAATAAGGAGTTATGTTTATCTCGAGAACCATTTTGACTAAAAAATCTTTGAAAAATTATAAGTACCCTACACTTTTAGTGCCATTGTCCCCCTCTACCATGAATTGTCACAATTATCATTATTTCTATCATGGGCAATGTATAATACCATATATTAGGGACATGTACATCAACCAAATGCTACATTCGCAACTAAAATTGATAAATAGTTAAAATTTTGATATAAGGGTTATGTGAACAAATTAAGAATTAAAACAAACTCACATATCTTCAACAAAATCAAAAACTTGACCTATATCCAAAGGATTGAATAAAATTTAATTTGACGAAATAATTGACAAACCTAAAGACAAAAGAATAATAACACAAATTGAAGGTTTAAAATGATTCAACCAAATTGAAAATTCATAAGACCAAATGGAACAATGCCTTACTTCCTAAGGCATTGCTAAATATTTTTCCTTTTTATTCATTTTCCTTGATAAATGTTTACATTTTTCGAATTACACGACGTGTAGTAAAATTTCAATTATCACAATAAAAAACAAGGTATCAAATAAGAAATAGAATCTTGCTTAATATAATATTTATAAATAGGCAGATGAATATATTGGCAAAATAAAATTAATAAAAAATTGTTATAAATTACAAGAATACATGAGTGTTGACTAGTTATGACTCGTTTGAAAGTATTTTTAAAATAACTAAAAAATATTTTAGAGAAAATATATTAGGGTTTCAAAAGTACTTAAAAAGCATCAGTTAAGTGTTTCTCCAAGATTTAAGTGCTTTCAGCCATTTTAAAAGTATTTCCAAACGAGCTCTTAGTAATTTAATACAGCTAATCATCTATTTGGACATGCTCCATAACATACTCTCATTATCCAAACAATTTATTGTTTAGAGCATCTGAACAAGTAGTTAACGCCATATTAAGTTACTAACTAATTAACGCTTCGACGTTTCTCTGTAACCTACGTGTAAAAAGTTGATATGAAAGTTCTTCACTTCGGACCAAGAAGAAAACGCGTAGAGATGAATAATAAACTTATTCAAAGCCATCCAATCTTATGTTGCTAAAATAAAGTAAAGCTTCGATTTTCTCCAAGTAGAAGAGAAAAGTCCCATGTTCTTGGAAGGAAGTTGTTGCCGTTACAGTGACTGCCGAAATGTCGAATCCATATGGTTTAATCAAATTGGTGCATACCGATATAAACTATGTGTCTAATGTCATAAAAAACACACGAACCAAAAATTAACCCCCAAAAAAGGTTCAATTTTCACCAAGCAACATAAAATTAAAAAAAGGAATAATCATTGCCATATTAAATGAGCTTAAATTTGGAAATTTATATAGTAGGAGTCCTGCTCTCCTAAGGTCTTTATCTTGAGGAACTGTGAGGATCAAATTCATATTAGCCATAAAATTATACTAATTTATATCCAAAAGCTTAAATTCATAACAATTTAAAGAGCCCATTTTCTTCCTCTCCAGTCTCACAATCACAATGGTCTCCTTCATTTTAAACTAGTTGTGCTTTATTAAGTTGTCAAATATTTTAAGTATTTGAATCTAAACTGTGACATCCCGTCCCGAATTATTTTATCGTCAGTGTGAAATGTCTATTTTGCCTTTGGACGTTGAGGTGTGTTGTGTGTGACATACTTTTAGAGGTGGTCCAATATGTTAAGTTTCTAAATTTTTGGACCCAATTAGAACTAAAGGTTCTAATTGTTTTGGTTGGTTGTAAGAAAATCAGGACCACACAAATACTCCCCCTCCCGTTGACCCCCTCTCTCTTTCCTCCCTCTCGATTTTTCTCCATTTTCCGTACAATACGTACAGACAAACCTCAAACCAAGCAATTTCTTCACGGATCGAGGTTTTTGAAGTCATATTTGTGTTCCTTGTGAGCTCAGGAACACATCTATACCGTTTTTAGAATGTGAAGACCTCATTTTCCCAAGAACCCCAGAACCCAGTTTTGGGTTACTGTTCATGCACTCGTGATTTCAAAGTTTTTAGGAGATTTTAAGCTGCTAGGGAGCCTTAAAACATATTCACGAAGCTCGAGGAGTAATTTTGAAGTGAATTGGACGTCGTAAAGTTGAGTTTGACAAGTTTCAAGTTTGGCCGGAATATTGAGGTTCCTCCGGTGAAATCCCGTGGATTTCAAGGCTTGAAAGTGGTAAGGTTTTGTTCTTCTAGTCCTAAGCTTCATTTTGGTACAAATTTCATGAGTTTTGGTGGAAAAAATGAGCGAGATATTGAAGTTTTAAAATTTTCCAGTTTCCGGCGATCGCAGCGATGACCAGCGCCGAACTCCGGCGAACCAAGGAAGAAGGAGGAGAATATTCCGTCAAAGTTGACGGAATATTTTGATGCCTTCAGGTAACTTTAACGGCATATTCTGATTTTTAACGGAATATTCCCTAACGTCGTTAGGGAATCCGTTTAGTGTGCCAAGCACGTGCATGCGCGTGAGCCGCGCGTGAAGGCGCATGGGGTCATGAAATTTTTTTCTAAAAATATGGGGATATTCCTGAGGTTGAGTATATCATGGTGATATATTCAAATACCCCATTTGAGCTATGTATGAGAAGTTATTTTATAGTTTTGTGTATGTGCTTTAAATAACGTTTATTCAGTTATTTCGCATATAGGTGAGACCTATCCTAAGAACAAGCGCCATCAATCAAGGCTCGGGGGCTACTACCCTTCGACATATCAGTGAGTGGGCTTTTGGTTTTTTCGTATATACCTATATACTTGAGATTTTTCCCAGAAAATGAATTTGAATGATTATATGTTTTGAAATGCCATGCAAAGTATATGTCTATTTTATTATACATTAGTAGTTGCATATATTTATGATTGGTGTTGCGGATGCACAAGTAAATGCCAGGTAAGTTTATAAATTAAAGGTATGAGATTGTTTTAGTTACGCAATGTTTGATGTGATGTATTGAGAGCTCATAAACCTGCACCCAGGTGTTAGTGCTCCCGCCCAGAGTTAAGGCACAATTATTCACGTGATGTTCATATCCCGTACCATATGCTAACCTTGGATCCAAGTTAGGAGCACAAGCCTGTAGTACAAACCACTTTAGGTGGTTCTGACTCGTAGGTGACTCGCGATTATTCGCACAGCCTTCACGTGATCGTAGCACTAGAGCATATTTATTTTACACCTAGTCTTGTCGTACAGATCACTTTAGGTGGTCTCGACTCGTGTGTAGGATTTGATTTGATATGATTGAGATTGATTATGAGCTATAGACTCAACCGTACAGATTGAGTTAGAGGGATTTGGCTGATGCGATATCTGACATTGATATATTTTGTTTGGATTACTTATGGCATTTCATTGAGATACTTTGGCATGATATACTTCTATGGATTTTCATCTTGAGTATGATTTATGATACATCTTATTATTACTATTATTTTCTGGAAAATTATACAGGTTTTACGGCGAGGGGTTAGAACTTTTGAGAAATGAAATGATTTTGAAAAGCTTTGTTTTTGCCCACTCACACTGTTTGTTTTGCGCCCCTCCAGGTTTTAGGTAGAAGTGCTTTGGAGGCTCATGGGGATTTCGACGATGGTTCTGACAGAACATCATAAATGTAGGATCACCTTTGGGTGTTGTATAATTAGTACTTGTCATGCTTGACTGCACTTAGGATATTTATGTTCTGGTTGTGTATTTCACACTTAATCTCGCACTAGCACTTTATCTTAGCTAGTACTCTAGTTGATTTGGTTTTTGTTTATTCGTAATTCCTTATATCTCTATTGCTTCCGCATTGTGCACATGGCTACGTCACCCTCAAGTGACGGCCAGCATGCCCTGATTTAGGTTGGGGTGTGTCATAAACTAATATAATCTTTGTGGTTAATATGCATAAGGACCTTAGGAGAGCAAGATTGATTAGATTTAGATTATACACATTTGTTAGAGCACATTTTCAATAGACTTGAAACACAACTACATGATGTTACTACTTCAATGAACTTATAACATGTGGATTTTATTATTATCATATCCCAAGAATAGTATATATCAATCATGTAGTCCACTCTTATTATGTTACCGGTACCCAAATTTTTTTTTACAAGATGTTAGCACGGTGGTGATGTACCACCACTACTTAAAAGCAACGAGAAAAAATGCACCCCAATGTGTTCTTCTTGTTCTGGTAAATGATAACATAATTATATTAAAATCATCTAAATTATTAGAAGGAGAATTAGAACCTGAGTTTAGATGCGTATAATATTGTAGTAACAAACGCGATGAAACTTAAATTCAGACAATAAAATATGTTTTTTATTATGATTTATGCAACATGATACAAATTATTTGGTAATAGATAGTGGCAACAAGTTGACAACTATATTCCCAAGAAATTCCCAAAGACAACACAATATAATTGGCAAAGTGGGAATGGTTAGTCTATAGAACAACTTATTAGAAGGGAGTTGTTACTAAATAAAGGTTGGGGAAGGGAAGATGAGCAAAAGTTGCCTAAAATGGTGGTTTGTTGGAGGTCAAAGTCAAAACCCCAGCCCATAAATTAGAATACCAAAACTGAAAATCCAACCCAGAAGGCCTCAGCTCTCTCCCTTATCATGGTTTTTTCAAACCGAGGGCGAGGGGTTTGTAACTTTGTATTCTTCTTTCTCCATGCTTAATCTTCTCTTTCCCTGCAAGAAACAAAGATTTTAACCCTTTTATTTGTTGTTAAATAATAAAGAGAACCAATTTACTGCTCCCTCTCTCTCTCTCTCCTCTCGTCTTTCTCTCTCTACCTCTCTCACTCTCTCTTCATTCCTTCGATCCAACCCTTTCCACGCTTCTGACAACTTTTTTTCTGTCAGAACATTCCAAATCTGCTTCATTGGTTCTCAGTCTAATCCGAATAAAAATGTTCTTCTGAGCTCTCGGATGGTAGTTGAATCGTCATAGACAAAGGCCAGAAGGATCCCCCTCCAAGGCTCCAACATATCGAATACCAGGTATGGAGATTTTGTTTTTGAATTCTTAAAGACATGAACTTTTGTTGTTTGAGTTATGATTCAATGTTGTTTTTTCGTACCCCAGATGTTTGTTTGGTCTTAAGTTTATGTTGGACAATTGAATTTATTGTTTTGATGTTTTTTCATAACGAAGTTCATGTCTTTTTCTGAAACACCAATTGGTTTTTAGTTTGCATTTTAATTATCTGGGAATATTGTGCTGTTTCTGGATTATTTGTGCCCCTCTTCAATTAATTATCTTCCTAAACTCATATTATCTTGTTTTGCACAACTTTCCATTTGACTTTGGTTATGTTTGCAATTTAATTTTTACTCTTAAATTTATATGCAGGTTATTCACATACCGATCATAGTTCGATGATTTAATTTACACCTCTTAGAGGGAAGGTGAGGCGGCGCCAAGATTAGCTCTTGTTCACAACGATGACTCGTTGAATAATTTAATTCCGGGGTCATTTGGTTGAGAATATGTGAGGGATGGTATCAACTACTTTTCTGAAGCTTGTGTCACCTTGCTGGAAACCGTCTTTCGAGGGTGAAAATTCTAATAGGGGGGACGTGAGTGGTCGAATTGATGGTTTGTTGTGGTATAAAGACTCAGGGCATCATGTTAATGGAGATTTCTCGATGGCAGTAATTCAAGCAAACAATTTGTTGGAAGACCATAGCCAACTGGAATCGGGGCCATTGAGCTCCCTCGAATCAGGTCCTCATGGAACATTTGTTGGAATTTATGATGGACACGGAGGTCCAGAAACAGCCCGGTTTTTAAATGAAAACCTGTTCAACAATATCAAGAGTGCGTTATTCTTCCTCCTAAATTCATCTTTTTTTAGACCTGTTGAGGAGTTTGGTAATTGTGATAACTAAACTAATGCTGCTATTATTAAAAAAGCCTGAGAAAGTAGTATTTTCTTATGTCTTGCACCATGGGAAAGTAGTATTAAACAAGGTATAGTCGTTTTGGTGCGATCTGTCTTGCATGCTTGCTACACATGCGATTATCAAGAGCTATTTCAATGCTCGAGTGGGAGCTTTATTGTCTGGGATTATCTTTGTAGTGACGGTTTATTCGTTTTGCAATGCTCGACTGATGATATTTGAGTCAGAATCGGGATCAGTGGGGATAAGAATTTCGTTATTATTATGGCAATTGCGAGGTTCCTGAGTGAGGTGTAAAACACGTGGTCTGGACTGGATTTCTTGAATTTTCTTTCATTAACAACCTCCTCGATCGTGAATTATATGTCATAATACTAATTATGAAAATTTACGAACAACTGAGGTTCTGGTCACGTAATAATCCCTATTGTTATCAGTTTTATGGTATAACAGATATCTTATTTATGCAGGTTTCCCTTCCACTACTTAGATAGCTAATGCGTATATTTACTGACTTGACAGCTTTCCGTGGTGCAGAGTTCACGTCAGAGAATCAGGGAATGTCAGCTGATGTTATCACCAAGGCATTTTTGGCGACCGAAGAGGAGTTCCTCTCTCTAGTAAAGAAGCAGTGGGCAATCAAGCCACTACTTGCTTCTGTTGGTGCATGTTGTTTAGTAGGCATAGTATGTAGTGGGCTGCTATACATAGCAAATGCGGGGGATTCTCGTGTTGTGCTAGGAAGACTGGAAAAGACCATTAAACAGGTAAAAGCAGTTCAGTTATCAATCGAGCACAATGCAAGTCATGAATCTGTGAGAGAGGAGTTGCACTCGTTGCATCCTGATGATCCACAGATTGTGATGTTAAAGCACAAGGTGTGGCGCGTGAAGGGTTTGATACAGGTGATTAACTTTCTTATCTGTTACCAGGGTATCCGTACATGTATAGTGATCGTTTTCCCCCTTTGACTCCTGTGTGGCTGAGTATTTTCGTCTTAAGTCCTTTAGTTTTCGCAATGTTTTCATTTATTATATTTCCCAACTAGGGCGTGTGCCATTATTGGAATGGATTTGGAACTAAACAATTGAGGTTTATGTGTATTTGACTTTTAGTTCTGAACCCGGAGCTTCGAACAATTTTGCAAATTTGCTGGAGGAATGCTCTGGTACATTTTAACAAATGATTTGAGATCTTTTGAACATTAATATTTATTAGTCTTTTGGTGAAAGTATATGTTATGAAGCCCTTGGGTCAGGCCTGTCTTCCCCTATCACAACGGATTAATTAAATTACAACAGAGTTTGTTTAAGATAAACTATGAGACCCCTAATTAGGTTCGCATAATTTTTGCGTTTAAGTTTTGGTAATTCTAATTCATTGAAATCTTCTACGCTTATGACCAAATTTGCATTTCCTCTTCACAAAGATGACACGGATTGCACAATAGAGCAGCACTCATGTTAGAGATGTTTGCTTGTCTCGCAGGTTTCAAGATCCATCGGCGATGCCTACCTGAAGAGGCAAGAGTTTAACAAAGAACCTCTATTGGCAAAGTTCAGATTATCACAACCCTTCAACAAGCCGATCCTTAAAGCTGAGCCAACAATCCTAGTCCAAAAACTCTACCCGGAAGATCAGTTTCTCATATTTGCATCAGACGGCCTATGGGAGCAGTTAAGCAATCAGGACGCAGTTGACATTGTCCAGAGCTATCCGCGTAATGTACGGTTCCTATGTCAAGTTTTGGCTTTCTTTTGTATTTACTCAACTATCTTCTGGCTCTCGGGCGATCAGTCTTATTTTGCCCGTACGATATCATAAGCTCAGTATCTCAGTATCTCAGATCGAAATTGTCTTTTATTGAAGTTGCTATTCCATCTGCTATAATGTTTTCCCATATTTGTGCAGGGTATTGCAAGGAAACTTGTGAAAGCCGCGCTTCATGAAGCAGCAAAGAAGAGAGAAATGAGATATTCGGACTTAAAAAAGATAGACCGAGGGGTGAGGAGACATTTTCACGACGACATCACAGTGGTAGTTCTGTTCCTAGATTCGCATCTGGTCAGTCATAGCTACGGGCACGGGCCTCTGCTTTCGGTTAAGGCAGGTGGTGGTGTCCCTGCCACCAGCACCTAGATTTTGGAGGTTCAAATGGATCCATCTCACTCAAAACCCCTGGTTTTCTTCACTTGTACTAAGAAACAAACAAATGCTTTTGTTTTCTTTACAAAGAAGAGAGTTAAAGGCAGATTTTTGGGCCTTTTTTTTTGGAGTTTTAACAAAACAATCATAATACTGTTCACTTTTAACGAAAAATCACATTTATACATTTTTCTGATACTATTCACTATACTTTTAAAAATGGCTTTTCATTAAAAGGTAAGTTTTTTGGACTTTTCGTTAGTTTTTCTCATTTTTTTCCTTTTTATTTTTCCTTTTTCTTCTCTCTTCTGCTGATGTATAGCTGTGCTTTCTGGATTTTTTAATTTTTTTTAAATTTTAAATTTTTACATTTAATGCCACAAGAAATTAGAGGATAGATGGAAGTTGAATAGCTAGAGAACTGAGAGTGCCTCAGAAAATTTTCTGCAGAAAGTTCCTAGCCATTGGAACGTGACATGATTATTGTTATTATTATTTTATTTTTTTGGGAGAGCTACAATTTGCATGAATTGTATATGTTTGCCTTGAAAATATAAACTTTGGAAGCATTATGTCCATCAAAATTTCCAATTCAACTTGCACCTCGACTTTGTATCAAGTAATGTATTTTAAATTACATGACGTGAAAACATAAGCCCTTGTTCGACTTGAAACATGAATTTCTTATATTCACTTCTCAAATTTTGGCTCACTTTCACAATTTTACTTTTAGCTTTCAGATTTGTTTTTTTTTCTTTTTCATTTTAATCATTGTATCTTCGTAAATATAAGCCTTTTATATTTAATAATTAAAGCGCCTAATAAAAATGACCCGTAAGGTAAATTTAATGTACCATATTGTTTGTATAACTTTCTAGGCTTTTGTTCTAACCAATGGCTCAAATCCAAAGATCATTGAATATTTTATATCTTAATCCAAAATGCAGACTCTTTCTCCATTTTGGCCTTTAGTTTTCTCAAATAATATTTTTATTTATTTTTTCCCGGGAAATTTCTGTAAAATCCGTTAAGAACATAAATACATAACAACCAATCAAAACCAACTCAAACCGCAAAATGGCGGCTCTGAAAGTGAGTTTGAGAGGCACTGCAGCTCCTACTTGTTCACCATCACCATCTCTGAAATCTTGGCCGCACATCTCAGATTCTCTCTCCAAGACATCAGCGATAGCCAGATTTCCAAACGCCGCCGTATTGTCTCCTCCCAAGCTTCATCTTCAAGCTTCCCCTGGAAAGAAAACCAGAGCTTCAGTCTCTGCAACTATGGCGACTGGGTATGTTACAGTAGATGGGAAATTTCGTGCAGTACAAAATAAAGTTCTTACCTTTCTTCTTTGTTTTTAAGAACCCAGTTGCTTGAATTGTAAAAGTCTTCATCTTTTACTTCATAAATTAGTGAGCAATCTTGTTTTGCGTATTTGTTTATGGTTTTCTTGTTCTTATGTGGGAAGCGGGCAAGAGGTTCTTCCACCAGCTCTTACTTCTACATCGGACCCACCTCCAATCTTCGATGGAAATACAAGGTTTGTGTAGATTACTAGGTTTTCAGTACTTAATTGCATTTAGTTTGAATCTGACCGTTGGAAAATGTTGGGTTTTTGGATTGTTGAAGGTTGTATATATCTTACCAGTGCCCGTATGCGCAGCGTGCGTGGATTGCCCGGAATTGTAAGGTTGTTTCAAGAACATTTCATTGTTTGGTTTTACTTGATTTGATTAGAATGGCTGCAAAAATACTTAAGGAGAACAAAGGAACTTTGAGAGTATTTCATCCGTGTCGTTTGGCTTTGCAAAAAGTGAATAGAACTTCTCAAGTGAAGCTTTTAGAGTAGAAGGGTCGGGACTTGTGAATCGGATTCTTGTATCTTAAGTTCCAGTAGAAACAAAGGGGAAAACTTAATCTGTTTCTTTGGCATACGTTTTTCAGAGCTACCAAATTGGATATTGATTCTGTGGGCAACTCTTAATGCTTGCTTGTTTGTGGACGTTTGTTACTGCGTTGAGTACGCTGGTACTTCGGCTGTTTTTTGTTCTCACCGCCAAGATCAAACCCTTTAATCATTGATGATTCTTATGAACAGGGATTGGAGGAAAAGATACAGTTGGTTCCTATTGATCTGCAAGACAGGCCTGCTTGGTACAAGGAGAAAGTCTACCCTGCTAACAAGGTGAAATTTTGAAACTAGAGCATATGCTATAAGCCTGCAAGGCTGTTTTCATTTGTTTTGTGCTGCGTTACAACGAAATGATCCCGTATCATAAGGCATCTAAAATACCGCCCTGTTGTGGAGTTCACAGAAACTACACTGGTTAATTATATGGAAAAAGGAGCCAATGGGATGTTTCCGGCCATTATGTCTGCACAAAATTTCTGTGTCATTCGTATGCTTAATTTCCCATTGCATTTTCTCTACAAGGCGTGTCTGATGTGAAATTTGAACGCAGGTGCCTTCACTCGAACACAATAACGAAGTGAAAGGAGAGAGTCTTGATTTGATTAGATACATTGACAGTCACTTTGAAGGGCCTTCACTGTTCCCTGATGTAAGATTTCAAGAACACTTGGTTACTGAATATTGACTGCTCTATGTTACACAAACCTTATACTCTGCAAATATAGGATCAAGCGAAGAAAGAGTTTGCAGAAGAGTTGCTGTCCTACACAGACACCTTCAATAAATCTGTGTTTTCGTCAATTAAAGAAGATGAAATTGATGCAGCTGGTGAGACGATCACTTGCTTCTTTCGATGTTATTTGATTTAAGTTGAAACTGGGCTCCTATTAACCATAGTCGTGTTGAAGCAGGTGCTGCATTTGACTATATCGAAACTGCTCTTTCCAAATTTGAAGATGGACCTTTCTTTCTTGGCAAGTTCAGTCTGGTAATACCGCAGCTATATCTGCTTTCTGTCAATTAGTGTTTTAGTTTCATTTTCCTTGCGTTACAGGAGAACCTCTCCATCCTCGCGTACAAAATTCATATGAAGTTTTCGGCATCAGTTGCATTTCTTTTATAAGTTTGTTCTTACTTTCAGGTGGATATAGCTTATGCTCCGTTCCTTGAAAGATTTCAGCCTCTCTTGTTGGACGTGAAGAAGTATGACATCACTGCAGGCAGACCTAAACTGGCAGCATGGATCGAGGTACACAACGATTCCAAGCTTAAAACACGAGTTTATTTATTGCATAATTCAGGTTATAAAATTGGATTCCGAATTCGATGGTAAAGGTTACTCGTATGAATATAAATCACTCTTGTAGGAGATGGACAAAAATGTAGCTTACAAACAGACTCGGCGTGATCCCAAAGAGCTTGTCGAAAGTTACAAGAGACGGTTTTTGGTAATTTTCTTGTTGCAGCATGTTAGGAAGGCAATTCTCGTCGTTTTCAAATGCTAATTTCTTGGTTCATTGGCTTTGCAGGCTCAGAAATGAAATCAGCATAACTAAGCTAGGAGTCGATGCAGATGTTCCGAGTTTCGCTCGTATGCGTTGCGAATTACTGATGGTGGTTCTGAGAACCTGGAGAACCAAATCATAATTCCCAAAACCTGGGGGCGTAATTATTCAAGGGAATCTTCATTTCTTGTGTAATAAGTTAGCTGAATTGGTACTTGCAGCTTTTCTTTTAAGAATAATTTTATGTGATAACCAAATTGTTAGGGACTTGGTTTTCTTGACTTTCTCAGTCTTTCTGTCAGTCATAAAAGTGCTTTCGAGAAAGCACTTGTCAAATATTTTTTCATGAAGCACTTTTAAGCAATTTTACATAAAGCGCTTAGATTTTGAGTAAATTGTAGTCATGGTCCCTCAACTTTAACCCAATTTGAGCAATTGTTCCTGAACTAAAAATCAATTACCAATGGTCCCTCAACTCTTCAAAACATGCAACTATGGCCTTTTTCGTCAACTCTGTTAAAATTTCCATCAAAATGAGTCACTTGTTATGTAAAAGAGGCTGAATCAAGGGGCAAATATGAAAAATCAAATAAGAAAAATTGCACCAATGGTCCTCAACTTTAATCCAACTGAAGAAATGGTCTCTAACTTTAACCCAATTAGAGCAATGGTTCCTCAACTTTAAACCAATTGTAACAATGGTCCTTCCAACATAACTCATTCTGACAGAATATTAACGAAGTTGACGAAAAGAACCATAGCTGCACGTTTTGATGAGTTGATGGACCAATACTAATGGACTTTTAGTTGAGAAACCATTGCTCCAATTTAATTAAAGTTGCGAGACCATTGCTAGATTTTTAATAAAACTTTCAACATGCTTACCTTATGAACATAAACACTTTCTAGAGAAACAAATCCCAAACAGTCGTCAAATTGACAAGTTTAGTAGTTCACATCTTTTCTTTCACAAAAAGTTATTCTCATAAATGTTCGTACGAACTCTAGTTGGCTTCTTAAACGTAAGAAGTCATTCCTCACAAAAAAGTTAATGCACACGTTTCAAACTATAATTTTGCCACAAGGAACGACTCCATACACATAACGTACAAACAGTTCTTTTTTCCTGGTACAACCTTACAAGGAAAAGTAATCAATCTTATAAGATCCTGCAGAAATCTAAAAAATGTTCTGCTAGAAATGTTCTGCTAGAAAGTAAAAGCCATAAGCAGTTGGAATAGCTTAAGGGAATTTAGAAAGCTGCTTTATTTAACCGTAGATACTTTTTGTTTACACTTTCTGAAATCAACTAGCACATAAATCATCTCCAACACCAAACTGCAGAAGCAACTTACAACTTATTAACGCAACATGATCCATCCTAACCTCGCTTCAAAGAACCAGAATCTTCCCGAATCAGTGAACAGATACAAATATTGAATAACCGCCTTAAATATGATATGCAATGAAGAAATTTTGTTTCAACATCTCTATCCAGGTATTACCCCAAAAAATTAGATCAACCTGACATGACATCTGTGAGAATATAAAGTCGTCGAGGGCAGTGATTAGACAAAATGATACTACCCACCCCAAAATATTGAAGCAAAATTTACTTAAATGCTTCAGATCTCTAGCAATAATGTGTTGTCCCCTCCTTTGACTATCAGCAGAATGCTCAGTGCAAGATTGATCATTACTGGGTTCATGTACAGAGCACTGACTAGTACCTCTTCGCATTTGAAATGGTTGCTCGATCGAGAAGTATGTGTATCAGTGAACGTAGAGGAGTCGCTCACACACTACCTCAGCAGTACCTTCCATATCTTGCTCATGTACACAACCAATGACCACACAGCAAGGCCTGCTGAAACATAAAGCAAAACAACACCAGAAGCTACTAGAACCTCTGGTCTTCCAAGGCTGCACAAGTTGGATGATAGATGGAGGAAAATGGCATCAGAAACTATACTAATAAACTATTTCATCTGTATTGACCTAAAAAGAATAGCCCAAAATTCAAGAAAACCAGACAATGTACCTGTTGTCTCGGGTTGCCAAGAGGATAGTTAGTGCTATCATTTGTGTGGCTGTTTTCCACTTTCCCAAGTTATTTACAGCTACAGCCTGAGAATATTTATCATTTGAATGAAAATTTACGATCTGAGTTACAGCTAATATCTTCCATGAGTTCTGAAATGAGAAGGCAGTTGTTCAGAGGTCGCATGGGGAAGGAAAACAAACCTCTAAAAGTTTAGCGTTCTGAGAAGCAGCCCATTCTCTAACTGCAGACATGGTTATCTAAAAGTAAGACGCAGAAGCAATTAGTGAGACAGTGTTATTAACATGAGGAATCCATAAAACTACAGGATGCAAATAATTGATCAATGAAAAAGTTGGGTGGGGGAAGAGAGAATAGCTGATAAGATAATCACTCATTTGATCAGAATATAGGTTAAAATGATTTGTTCTATGAACCTGAAACAGTAGAACTTGGAAACTCACATGCAGAATATGCACATGCACGAAAAAGAGTAAAAGGCCACACTGAACCTCACATGGATGAAATGATACGCCAATGTATTTTCAAACCGCAATTCAACATACTGTCCAAGTACATGATATCCTGATCAAACAAAACCACCCCCCCCCCACCCCCCGCGGGGGCAGCCCAACGCACACTCAACATCTTTATGAAGATGCCTACGTACTTTTTCTACATTCAAGATCATGCCAAACATTTTCATGTTAAATACAGGCACACTTCATTTTTCTACTAACCATAACTTCCTGGCGAAAAATACAATCAAATTTAATTTTGACAATTACTAATACACCAGTGATAGAGGTCGCACTTGGTGCGATGGCAAGTGCCTTCGCCCATGAGCGGTAGGTCTCGAGTTCGAGACTTGGGAGCAGCCTCTCCATAAAATGGGGGTAAGGCTAGCCGACATTCACCTCTCCCAGACCCTGCGTAAAGCGGGAGCCTTGTGCACTGGGTACGACCTTTTTTACTAATACACTAGTGAAATATTTGATTGGTCCACCAATACAAGACATACAAGAAAGCAAGCCCTGAATCGATTAATTAATAACTAAGAAAATAAAGGAGACAAATAGAACAATATCATACCTCTCTACCAATTATGGCAATTGAAGGAACAACAAATAGCCATGGAACTTGCCCAAACATAGCAACATCCAAAGGCCTAGAACACAATAAAACCAGTGTCGCTGCAACCATGAGCTGCATTCAGCAGGAATGACAATCAATTTAGAACCCTAGAACAGTTTTAGAGAAGAATTATAATAAAAAAAAGCAGTACTTTTACTTCAATAAGCTGAAACTGACAATGGAAGTGTTTCATTTTAACTTTGGTGGGGAGTACAATACCTTATCAGCTACCGGATCCAAAAATGCGCCAAAAGCAGATCCTGATCTCATCTGAAACGCAAATAAACTCTTACAAAGTCAATAATTTGACCCAGATGAACAACCTCAAGAATTGAAATTCCCAAAATCAATTGAAAAGATAAAGAAAATAAGTTAACCTTCCGAGCAATATACCCATCGAGCCAATCAGTAATTGCTGCAGCAATGAAAATACTAGTTGTGGCAGTTGTTCCCCACCAACTATCGACATAGAAAGCTAGGACAATGAAAGGAAAAAAACCAAGGTTAGCCTAATCAAATGCAAGGACATTATGCTTCCAAAACCAAAATCTGCAGAAACCGAGAATGCATACAAAACCCAGATGTTTAAACATGCCCAATACCCAAAAAAATGACCACTCCAATTGTATTGACGCTCCCAACAGAGACAGCAATATCAAAAAAACAAATGAAACCCACAAGGGCAATTCAAAAGTTCGCAAAATGCATCATACAAATCAACATCATTGCCAAAATATGAGTACTCGAATTGCATTGGATCTCCCAACAGAGACACAAAAGTCAAAGAACAAACAAAACCCACACCGGCAATTCAAAAACCAGCCAGATACACAATTGCAGTCAATGCAATTTGCAACGAAATAAAAAATTCAATCGAAATCATACTGCTAATGAGAACGGGCACGGAGGCGACGCGGCCGAGGGTTAGAATGGTGGGCAAGGTGAGGAATTTGGAGGAGGATTGGGATTGCGGCTGCTGTTGTTTTTGTTGTTGATGTTGCAGAGGAGAAAGCAATTCGTCTTGGTTCGGGTACAATGGGCTGTCGTACCAATCGGCGCCTTTATGATTCGCCGAACCCATATCGGCCATAAGACCACCACCGGGGCCGGACTCAGAGCCGGACCCAACAAATGACTCTCCGCGATCTTCGGAGGAAACCCCACTAGCGTCACTGCGGTTGCGAGAGGAAGAGGAGGCGGAGAAGCAATTAGGGAATCCGGGGGACAGGTTTTGGGGAAAAGGGAGGAATGGTGCGCAGGGGGTTATCCTGCAGCCGGAGTATTTATGTGTTTGCGATAATGCTGCAATGAGGATTTTACGATTTGAGGGAGGGGAGGGAGAGGAGATGGAATTGAAGAGGATTTGGTAGGGCTTTTTGGGGTATATAGAGGAGGCTGCTGTGGTCATTTTGAGCACCAGGGCTGACATGGCTGGCCAACCAAACCAACTTCTACAAAAAGTGCTTTTTAAGTTTCGGCAAGACTCTCTCTCTCTCCTCTCTCTCTCTCTCCTCTCAGGTGAAACGGTTATAAAAACCGACACAACTAAAAGCTGGTGAGGTCTGCGTTTGTTTATTTTAGCAGCTCTCTTTCTCCTCCTGCTGTTGATAATCTGTTCCGTTTGGGAAGAAAGGAAGTTGGGTTGCTTTGATTTTGGTTGGACAGTTCTAGAGCTAATTTTTTCCAAGATTCCATTCCACTTGTTGGTTCTCTATTTGTTTTCTCAGAAAAAATACCACCCAAAAAAATAAAAAATAAAACAAACTGAAGAAAAGTCCAAAAAAAACTTCTCTTTTAATGAAATATCATTTTAAAGGTATAATGAATAATATCAAGAGAATGTATAAATGTAGTTTTTCGTTAAAAGCGAACAGTACCGGGAATATTTTGTTAAAACTCCAAAAAAAAAAAAGCAAGAGAGCCATTTTGGGAATTTTAATTTTTTGGTGAAAAGAAAAAGGGTTTTCACTTATTTTATTTTTGCACTTTTATTTTTGGATTGGCTACAATATTTATATTTAATATGAAACAAGGTACCTAACTAGTTAACGCTCATAAATTCGCCACTTTTTATATTTTGGAGGGTATATTCAATTAAATTTTCAAGATATTTTAATGGAATTATAAATTCAAAGATTTTGATGGGGTTTAATTGATTTATAGAGATTCAATGTAAAATTTTGACTTAATTTCCTCGAAATCTCAGGAAAAGATGCGAGATTTGTGAATGCTTAAAATACACTACGAATCTCTTCAATTCCCTCAAATTCCTTAACTTTTTAACATTCTTTAAAACAAATTCCTAATTAAATACACTTAGAATGTTATAAACTTATTATAATCTCAATTGATACATCCAGAGTTCTAAATATTTTAATAGGCTATCTTAAAATCTTAATTAAATACAAGTTAAATTTCAAATAATCACTTAAAACCTAATTGAATACTTCTAGATTCATTAAAATAATTAAAAATCATCAAAGAATCACTTAGAGTGGATAATATGATTAGATTTGCAAGGATGGATCCGGCCTTGCTAAGTTGAGCTATTGCCCAATCGAGATTTCGAAGAAAATGTAATACCTAAGTATAGTCTTCTTCTCTTCCTTCTCATAATCTTCATCCATGCAACGTATCCGGCCCTCGTCTCCTCCCTGTAGCCTCAACATGTTTCTTCTTACTCTTTTCTTGGTCCAAAATCTTTGGTGGAACCTCAAAACTTGATCCTTCGAAAGCTCGGTTGTCATAAAAGTTGTGTCTACTAATTGTTTGAGGAATTGCCTCTGTCGTGAAGCACAAAGCCTACGTCTTTCTTTTTCGGTGAAAAGATAAAAGAGATCACCATAAAAAAAATAGAAGGGAAATTGGCTCACTAGCCCTTTTATAAAACATACCAATCAAAATTAATTATGCTTTCAAAATGTAATATCTACTAACCGTCTTTTAAAATGTATTAATATTGAATCGATAATATAGTAACTCGAAAGTATTTTCGTCGAATGCTAGAAGAGATACATTTTGAAAGCATGGCTATTTTTGGTTCGTGGGTTTGTAAAGGAGTACTAAGCCCAAATAATAAAAAATGAAAGGCATAGGCTTTGTGCATCATCCCATTATTTTTTGGCTAAATAACCAAAATGGTCTCTGAGATTTGCATAACTCATTACTTTAGTCCTTAACATTTCAAATCGATAAAAGGGGTCCATGAGATTGTCCACCATCCATCACTTTGGTCATTCCGTTAAAAACTCCGTTAAGTGTTCCGGAGCTCTTGGCTGGAAGTTTGGACAATTTTCGAAGCTCCGTAACTCAATCGTTTCTTAACCAAATTCAACTCATAATATATCAAAATGAAGATAGTAAAGTGTAGAATAAGATTAAACCTATTTGGAAGCCCAATGGCTGCCGAAGATACCTGGAAAATAGCCTCAAAGTTGACTGGTCCGAATGAAAATTGGAAAACTCGCCGGAAACTGGGTAAACTTTAAACGTTCATAACTTCTTCAATACTCAACAAAATCAAGTGATTCAAAAACGAAAATCACACTTCTCGACGAGACGAAGAGAATGGTATATTTTTCGATGGCTAAATCGCCATGTTTTGGCCAGAAAACGGCTCGAACGTGGCTGTCTTGGTCTCGAGTTAGTCACTTTCGAGCTGTTTTCCGGCCAAACCACAACTAATTAGCCGTCGAAAAAGTACTATTCTCTTCGTCTTGTCAAGAAGTATGATTTTCATTTTTGAATCACTTGATTTTGTTGAGTATTGAAGAAGTTATGAACGTTTACAGTTTACCCAGTTTCCAGCGAGTTTTCTGGTTTTCCCTCGGACCAGTCAACTTTGAGGTTATTTTCTGGCCATCTCTGGCAGCCATTGAGCCTCCAAATAGGTATAATATTATTCTACATTTTCCTATCTTCATTTTGATATATTATGAGTCGAATTTGGTTAAGAAACAATTGAGTTACGAGGCTTTAAAAATTGCCTAAAACTTCCGGCCAAGAGCTCTGGGACACTTAACGGAGTTTCTAACGGAATGACCAAAATGATGGATGGTAAACAATCTCAAGGACCACTTTTATCGATTTGAAATGTTAGGGACCAAAGTGATGAGTTATGCAAATCTCATGGACCATTTTGGCTATTTAGCCTTATTTTTTAGATATAATTATTTCTTAAAGATAAAGTGCTTGATTGCCATGATGGTTAGGGTCTTTCTCTTCAAACCACTGCAATCTGGTCGAAAACCATCCTCATCCTCCTAGTTTAGATTTGTGTTAAAAAAAATTATTCCTTAATTAAAGTTTGATCCTGTTTTAATGTTTTGTAATTATTTTCTTTTTTAAAAAAAAGGAATATTTTCCACACATATGTTGGGCTCCATCTTAGCAGTCTCATGGGCCCCGAAACCCCACTCATCTTAATTTTTGAAGCCCAACTGATGTTAGTTTTCTAAAAAAAAAAATTAAATTAAATGGTTCTCTTAAAATTATAATTATTTTTCCATTGTCGTTTTAAATCAAAACAAGAGAAAATCTATTTTTATTTAGTGAGAATAGAGATTCTAAGGCTACGTTTGGCAATGAAGCCCTCTGTAATTACCACATTTTGTATATTACAATTGTACCATTTTTAGCAGATGTAGGGTTACTAGTAAGGCGAGATTGTGACCCGCAACCATCACTCATACCATGGACAGTGAAGGGTCATTCCGACAGTTAATTTTTGTTTTAATTGAAAAGATGTGATACAAATTGCATTTTTGTTCACATCCTCTAATTTTAAAACATCCCGAATTCGTATTTGTGATGGATTGGACTAACAATGCTTACAAAATGAAACTACAAATACGAAAGTGCAAGAAAAAATAGGTATTGGGCGTAAGTTGTGGTTATTTCCATCAACATTTAGCTAATCATTACAACTCCCACGTTTAGTTTTACTCAACGAATGAGGATCCTCTTTAGATCCTTTATGTGAGGATCTATAGTATCCTTTAATTGTAAATCATGCGATCATTTTTTGTCAAGTATTAGTTGTGTTTAATTTTAAAATAATTTTTGATAGCATGATGTACAATAAATGAATATAATTAAAGGATTTTCGAAATCCTCACAAAGAAAATTCGAAGATGATCCTCATTCTTACTCAACTGAGGAAATTCCAAAGCCCCATATGCAGCAGCATGACGTGCCACCTGGTGCCATTATATTTCTTCTAATAACGTAGACACGGTTGCTTATCTTAAGCCTTAAACACGGTTAATCTTTTCGTAAAAGGTCCATGTAACTTCAAAGGAAGAAAAAGCCATCTTCTCGAAATTAAAAAAAATCATAATTTTGCATTAAAAGAAAATTAATTAATTTATCTTCATTTGAAAGCATTATTAATTTTTATTTCGTCTTGGGTTTAGGCTTTTTTGGAAAATACATAGAGAGTTTTTCAGCTTTTTTTTTGTTTTTTTTTTTTTGTTGTTGTTGTTGAAAACGGGGTTAAGAACTCAAACAAAACCAAGCAACGATGGTCTTAAGTCTCGACATGTCAAAGGCTCAATAAAGAATAAATTGAGTGAGTGATGGAAGATCTTTTGATCAGATTTTAACAATCAAATTTGTGTCGTAAGTCTCAACATGTCAAGGGCTCAAGTCGATCCTCACAAATAAAGAATAATTGAGTGAGTGATGGAAGATCTTTTGATCAGATTTTAACAGTCAAATTTATGTTGATAAGAGTTGTTTGGAATAGTCTGCAAAAAAAGTTATTACAAGAAATATCTTCATAAGAAAAAAACCATGTCTCAAATTTCATAGGTCCATGCATAAAAGGTACTCAAATTTGTTGTCTTCTACCGACACAAACTCTTTGAGTGCGATCAGATCAAAATAAGGGGGCATTGGCATTTGCGAGTAAAAGGTCCTTTAGACGAAAAGCTCACCCGCCGACGGGATAAGTTTACAGTCTTGCCGAGTTAACTGAATAAAAAAATGTTAGACAGATCAACTATTTACATGATATTTTATATATTTACAACGAGATTGTTAATAATTTAATTTATTTTTCGAATCATTAAATTCAATCATCAATCGTCGTATCTTGCAAAAGGTATTCTAAAAGTATTGTCTTCTTGACATATTTCAGGTAAAAAAATTACATAATTATAAAATCCAATAGTTACACCCAACTTGCTAAATTCTTGTTTGTTTCTACTAATCTTAATTTGTTGTTTAAATTCAAATATTTGATGGCCTCCGAGGTGAAGCCATTGTTATTACTTATTTATCACTAAGTTGTATAAATTTTTGGGTTTGAAATATTTGTGGCTGTGATTTACAGGTTTTGGGTGTGTGTGAAAATACATTAGTTTTTTGTCTTTTAACATGTCACTGTCATTTTACAGTTTAAACTATTCTAATTTGTATGTTAGTAATTAAGAGTATTTATCTGCTTCACTCGAGATGTCATTTTTGTCAATTTACTTGTATAAAAAAAAGGAACTTAACGAAAAGCACCCGGTACTGTTCACTTTAACGAAAAACCACATTTTTACACTAAAAAGTCAATCCTGATACTATTCACTTTACCCTTTATTTTGTCCTTATCATTAAAACTCAAAGTTTTCAAGCCATTTTCATTAGTTTTCCTATAAAAAAAG